GGAGCAATAAAGCTGTTTTATATTGGGAGGCATGACTTAGTAATACAACTTTCCACACCAGCACTTGGGTTTAGGCCGAGGTTGAACTGTCCTCTGTCTGAATCCCAAAGCAGCACTCCACCACATGGGCTGGCTCCTTGACCCACAAACAAACAATTGCAAGAGATATACTAACTTTGGCACCGATGGGGCTGAGATATTGGCTTCAGTTTGCAAAAAGAAAGCACTGCCCCATTACTAAGCTCCACAGAAACACTAAACAGCATGAAAACCAAGCCGTTGTTTTGTGCAGGCTGGCTCTGCACTAAAGGATTTTACGCAGAGGAATCACATCACTGATCTGTGCTATGGACCTCTCTCTATGTAAAGAACAGAACGCAGGAGAGACACGCCAGCCTGGAAGTCCAACTAAATCTAATACAACCTGACTCAGAGCAGCGAGGGCAACAGGTCTGGAGTAAGAAGGGCCAGTGAATCCCATAGGCAGATGGATGAGCTAGCCTCAAAAGGAAAAACTGGGGACCCAAACACTCAGGAGCCTGAAACAGAAAGACTGCAAGTTTGAGGCTAGCCTTAGCAACTTAGCAAGATCCTGTCTCAAAATAAAAAACAGCGGGCTGGGGATGTGGCTCAAGCGGTAGTACGCTCCCCTGGCATGTGTGCGGCCCGGGTTCGATCCTCAGCACCACATACCAACAAAGATGTTGTGTCTGCCGAGAACTAAAAAATAAATATTAAAAATATTCTCTCTCTCTCTCTCTCTCTCTCTCTCTCTCTCTCTCTCCCCCTCCCCCCTCTCTTTAAAAAAATTAAAAAATAAAAATAAAAAAAAGCTTCTCATCAGCAGTGTGAGGTTCTAGTTCCCTACTGGGCAATCCCATAAGGCTATGTTGAATAAGATTTAGGACACATGAAAACTGAAAATGAAAAAAAAAAAAAATCAAAACTAAAATCAGAAAAAAAATGATTCAAATCTGCAGTAATCATCACTGCAGAGGACATGGGATACTATCTAACCTGCTAGAAAAGATCTCAATGTCAGTCAGGCAGGATTTTTTTTTTTTTTTAAATAAGAACATATGAGCCCTACAAAGTAATAGACAAGAATGTGGAGAAAAAGGAACACTTTAACACCGTTGGGGGGATTATAGATTAGTACAGCCACTATGGAAATCAGAAGTTCCCCCAAAAATTAGACATGGATCACCATATGACCCTGCTAGCTATACCACTCCTTGGCATTTATCCTAAAGAATTAAAGTAAACATATTATAATGACATATGCAAATCCATGTTTGAAGCAGGACAATTCACAACAGTCAAATTATGGAACCAGTCTAGGTGTCTACCAATGGACAAATGTATAAAGAAATGTGATATATATACACAATGGAGTTGTATTCAGCCATAAAGAAAAATGAAATTATGTCACTTGCAGGAAAGTGGATGAAACTAGAGAACATTAAGTGAAATAAGCCAAACTCAGAAAGTTAAGGGTCACATGTCTTCTCTCATGTGAAAGCTAGCAAGGAAAAAAGGAAAAAAAAAATGTGACAGGGTAGGGGATCTCATGAAAACCAAAGAGAGATCAAGACAGTAGAGAAAAGGAACCAGGGAGAGGGAAAGGGGAAATACTAGGGAATGATATTGGCCAAATGATACTGTTATGTTGTGTGCATGTTCAAATATGTAACAACAAATCCCACTACTACTCACAACTCTAATGCACCAATTAAAAAAATAACTGAGGGCTGGGGATGTGGCTCAAGCGGTAGTGCGCTCGCCTGGCATGCGTGCGGCCCGGGTTCGATCCTCAGCACCACATACCAACAAAGATGTTGTGTCCGCCGAGAACTAAAAAATAAATATTAAAAATTCTCTCTCTCTCTCTCTCCTCTCTCACTCTCTCTAAAAATAAAATAAAATAAAATAACTGATTGGGAAGGAACCTGAAAATCATGATAGGTGTATAGGCACTGCTATGGTTTGGATACCTGTATCCCAGAGATCCACTTATTAAAGGCTTAGTCCCCAGGGTGGCAATACAGGGAGGTGACAACACCTGCAGGAGGTAGGGCCTTAGGAGAAGTGTTTAGATCACTGAAAGTATGCCCCTGAAGGGGATTTGGAGACCGGAGTCCCAGTCTTACTCAATCTCTCTTTCCTGGTTCTCTAGTAGTAAATTTTCTTTCTTTAGTAAAAAAACGTACCTTAAGAAAAAGTCTTAATATTGTAAAAATGTCAACTTACATAAATTAATCTATAAATTTAAAACAAAAAACAGAACTTTCTGCTAACAATTACTGTATCAGCAATCAAGGAAATGGAATTTATGGTACAGAATAGCTTCCCCAGAGCATGAAGCCCCATACAACCTGAGCACATGAGCTGCCCAGATAGATGAACAAGTGCCTGGTGTAAGGGCAATGACCCAACCAGACTCACAGCTTGGGGGGCTCTAAGTCACTGGTAAAGAGGCTTGAGAGAAACAGAAGAAATCACATTTGTACATTAATTCTAGGAACATAAAATAGTAAGGGCTTCTGGGGCTGCAATTTAGTAATACCTATTACATAAATATTAAATATTTATACTCTTTGCCAGGTACGGTGGCACACACTTATAATCCCAGTTACTCAGGAGACTGAGGCAGGAGGATTCCAAGTCCAAGACCAGCCTGAGAAATTTAATGAGACCCTGTCTCAAAATAAAATAAAAAGGGATGGGTTGTAGCTGGATGGTAGAGCACCCCTGGATTCAATCCCCAGTACCCCCCCCAAAAAAAATACTCTTAATTCAAATTTTATTTCCAGGGGGGAAGAATGAGAGCCTATAAATGCCTATGATTAAATTAGGTATAATACATACATCCAAACAATATAATATCAAATAGCAGCTTATTTGATTTAAATGAAGAGCTATATTCCTTGCACAGAAATGCCTATTATGAAATGATGTTTGTATAGTGTGATTCCATTTTCCACTTTTAAATTTACATATATGTAGATAAATCTAATATAATGTCAAACAAATGAATAAAGACACATAAAAAGCTTATGTTGGATGAACTACAGTTATTTGAGGTTCAAATGCAAGCAAATAAATCTTGTGAAGAATTTTTTCCCTTTGGCAATATCAAAAGACCTTCATAAAAGTGTTGAGAACGAGAAAAACTTGCTACCAGATTCCTCGTAGAAGAGCTGCTCATAGAAAAATAAAACATGTCACTTTAAAAACAAAAAGTTGATGAAGCTCCTCATATGGGCATAAAGCTCAGAATTCACAGAGGAAAATACAGTCCCCAATGCAGACACAAACTGCTACAAGTTGGTCAAGTTTCTCAAAACACCTGACATTATAACCTTGAAATATCAAAGACACTAACAAATGCAGAAAGACCCTCTCAAAAATATTCCAAGGGGCTGGGGATGTGGCTTGGGGCTGGGGATGTGGCTCAAGCGGTAGCGCGCTCGCCTAGCATGCGTGCGGCCCGGGTTCGATCCTCAGCAGCACCACATACCAACAAAGATGTTGTGTCTGCCGAGAACTAAGAAAAAATAAATAAATGTTAAAATTCTCTCTCTCTCTGTCCCCCTCTCTCACTCTCTCTTTAAAAAAAAAAAAAAAAAAAATATTCCAAGTAATGAGTTACCCTAGGGACTTCCAGTCTGCAAAGGGGTCTCTGAGAGTCAAACACAGCAGAGCCTCCACCCCAAGAAGCTCCTCATGCAGAACAGACTAAAGCAACCTCCAGCAGCAAGATCCAGAGAATGTTCACATGGACAAAGGGAAAACCGTAGCCAGAGGCTTAGTACTAGGATGCAGACAGGTCCGTGCCAAGCCTCTGCCAGCCCTTCCTCCAGATACTGCCCACATCAGCTCAACTCACCTCAAGCCCATTCTTTTTTTTTTTTTTTTTTTAAAGAGAGAGTGAGAGAGGAGAGAGAGAGAGAATTTTTAATAATTATTTTTTAGTTCTCGGCGGACACAACATCTTTGTTGGTATGTGGTGCTGAGGATCGAACCCGGGCCGCACGCATGCCAGGCGAGCGCGCTACCGCTTGAGCCACATCCCCAGCCCCCCATTCTTTTTTTTCTTTCTTTTTTTTTTTAGTTGTTGATGGACCTTTCTTTATTTATACACGGTGCTGAGAATCGAACCCAGTGCCTCACACATGCCAGGCAAGTGCGATATAGCCTCAGCCCCTCGAGCCCATTCTTAACCCACACCATTTTTCCAGAAAGACATTCTCTCATAATCCCTTTCACCCTCACTTCCCACTGGGCAGGAGGAGAAGGCAGAGCTCTGAGCCAACTGCCTTCCTGGAGGGTGCAGTGGAACCTCCTGTTGGGATCCTGTGGAGGCCACAGCAAACCTGATACAGAAATGCCCTTTTCTGCCAGTTCTGGTTCTGGTTCCACAGCAAGAGAAACAGAAGTTACGAGGGCTGAGGGGAGTGAAGAAGACAGCCCCTGGCAGGAGCCCCAAGGGCAAGGCAGGTGGCACTGGGGAAATTCTGGAGCAATCTGGAACCTCCCACCGCAATGCTGACTGTAGTGCCATTAGTATTCTGGTGATGGATTTTTCTCTTGGGGGGTGGGGGGGATGAAACCCAGGGCCTCACACATTCCCACTAAACTACACCCCCAGCCCCCAATTTTTTTTTTAAATCATGAGAATTTCAAATCAAATATTTCATATTCTAAGTCTACTTTTAATTTTCAAGTCAAAATGTTTTCTGTTTCTATGTCTATAATCCAGCTACTCGGCTGAAGCAGGAAGATCACAAGATTGAGACTGAGTATGAGCAAGTTAAGGAGGCTTTGTCTCAAAAATAAAAAAAATTAAAAGGGTGGGGATGTAGCTCTGTGGTAGGTCTCCCCTCCTCCCCCCAAGTTCAATCCCCACTACCATTAAAAATAAAAACTTATTAAAGTGAAAAAAAAACACAAGAACTAGGAACAAGAGGACACAGGGATGCTGTACACATATGACTCACCAACACTCGGTCTCCAATTTTGAGCTCTCGCTCTCCTTTCTTGACTGAGCCAGCCTCAGAAAGGTTGGAGATTGACTCGCTGGCAGTTTTCGTAAGGTTGCTGATCTGAGGCGTGGCTGGCGATTCCTTGGCTCTCGGCTGGGAAGACTTATGGGGAATGTTTGAGGGTGTGGCTGAGGAGGACACCATGTTGGCTACAGACGTGGACAGAGGTGAAGCGGCTCTGGATGCCTGAGCCGTCTGCAGGCCATTGGCTTCGTCCTCTGTCTGCACCTTCCTGGTTAACTTTGAAGGTCGGGTAAAGATGCCCTTTAAAGGTTCACACTGGAAATACCGAACTCCTGCCACAGAACCATCGTTCTTGCCAATAGGTTCATCTAAAACAATCCCAGCCCACTGGCCTGGGGCAAACTGAGTCTCTCCAAGAAACTGGATGAATCCAGGCTTATTCCCATTTACCCAAACACGCTCTCCAACTCGAAAGTCATCCACAAACTCCTCTGGGGTCTCGGCAGAGGGAGCGCTCGAGGCTCGTTCACTAGATATCGTTTTTTCTACCGGGGCTGCAGCTGAAAACAAATAAAGATCAGAAAAGATTGTTTCATATTCAAGCACCAACTATTACCTTCATGGAAAACAAACAGCAAGAGCGACAGCAGGGGATGGGGCTGGGGCTCAGTGGCAGAGCGCTTGCCTAGCATGCATGAGGCACTGGGTTCGATTCTCAGCACCACATACAAATAAAAACAAAGTAAAGGTATGAAGGAAAAAAAAAAAAACAGCAACAGGAGTAGCCTGTGTCAGAAGAGTCCTGGCTTGACTTTTCTACTGCAAAAAGGCAGAGGACTGGCCCCATCACTTCACTTTCCAATGCTATTAACATTCAGTGATGGGGTTTTTCATTTGTGATTAAGACTATAAGTCAAAGTAAGAGGAAATTAGTCCCTTGCCAGACCTATACTTACAGGTCTGACTCGTTTTTCACTCCATTTGCCCACCATACACAAATGCCCATACAGATCCATTGAGACAGGCTCTGTTCATACATTTGAGTAGCAATCAAAGCAGACAAAACAGGGACTACTTCACCACTTAGATTCACATTTAGGCTTAAAGAAGGACAGGGTTCAGGGCTGCAGCTTACTTCATTACTATTGAAAGACTACTACACCCTCTTCCTTTGATGACAGAGGTGGAAATCACAGCAAAGACAGCACCAGGTCCAACGCAATTTGCCTTTGTGCAATCGCTACCCTAAAGTTTGCAGTTAAGAGTTCTCCAGAAATGTGATATCTGCAATGGAAACTCAGCCATGCAGCCATCCAACAGGAATCTATTAAATATTCAGTGTGATCTGGCAAAGTGCACGTTCTTAATCACTCTATCAGTTACCGGGCATATCATCATCTCAGGCTATGACATGACCTTAGTTTAATTTCCTCAACTGTAAGAGGATAGGAACATCTCTCAAGGGCTTTTAAAATGAGAATTAAATGAAATAATGTGGGCTGGGGCTGTAGCTCAGTGGCATAGCACTTGCCTAGCATGTGTGAGGCACTGGGTTTGATTCTCAGCACCACATAAAAAAATAAATAAAGGCACACTGTCCATCTTCAACTACAAAAAAGACTTTAAAAAATGAAATGATGTATTTATTCATTCTGCACATGCTCATCAAATTCCTGCTTCTGTGTGATAGTGCCAAGTACCGCTCTTTGCAGGGGACAAAGCAAAAAGAACATCGTTTGTGTCCTTGCAGAGACCAGAGTCTAGAGGTGGGAAGGTGGCAATTCAACATTCAAGATACTTGCAAGTGATCTAAGTGCTGTGGAGAAGACAGTGCCTTCGAAAGGGAAGTCAGGGAAGGCCTTTTGTAGGAGGTGACATCTGACAGACGCATAAACTACACAAAGTTAGGGACATAACAGAACTGTCAACAATAAATTTCTGTTGTTTATAAACCACCCAGCTAATGTACTTTCTTATATAGAAGCCTGAATGGATTGGGTCAGTTCATATATGAGCTGTCTGGGAAGGTTTCCCTCCAATTACAGGTCAATTAGTATGTCATAAAACTTTTGGGCTAGAATATTGTTTTTTTCTCTAATCCCCACGGAGAAAGGCCTAAAGAGTTCAGGAAGACTCATGTGGAAGAATCAAAAGAAATACTTTAACATTACAGGGATCAAATAACTCAAGTGTCTTGACACCTATTTTAATACCTTACACTAAATCTAATAAATTAAATAAAATGATAAACTACAAAAAGTGACTCTTTATTAAGACTCTTAACTATATAAATTTTTTTTTAACCAGGTTTCACTATGTTAGTGAGATTAGTCTCCAACTCCTGGGCTCAGACAATTCTACCTGCTCAGTAGCTCTACCACTGAGTCAAAACCCCAGCCCCTGCTGTTGCTCTTGCTAGTTTGCTGGGACTATGGGCACATGTTATCACATCCAACAACATTCTGTATTTATCTATTTTTATACTTTTACAGTGCTAGGGATTCAACTCAGGGCCTTGCACAGGGTAGCAAATACTCTACTAATGAGCTACACCCAGAGCCCAAATTCTGTCTTTTACAATAACTTTTAATAATATGAAAGGAAATTTAATTAGCATGACCACACTTGGAAGACAAGGGGACCCATATTCTTAGTCCTGTCTTCCAGAGGCTGGAATGACCCTGAGGTTTATAGAAAGGGAAGGAGAGCAAGGGCTGGGGGCATACAGGTGGAGAATTTTTACAACTGCCAAAGTAGATGATCTTGATCAGGTGTGGTCTGTCCATCATGATCTCAGGTGGGACCTTGTCCCCAGTAAGAAAGTTACTCTTGCCTGGGAGACCAGACCTTATTCCTGGAGACCAAGCAGAGCAAAGGAGACTCCTGCAAAATGGAGGCAAAGATGCCAAGACTGTAATCCTGCTTTTAGCCACCCACTGGACATCTGCAGGCAAAAGTGCAGAGCCTTGAGTCTATAAGTCCTTGTTTCAATCCTGCCTTTTGTCCACTCCTCAGTGCCCAGGGAACCAAGCTGTCAGCCAATCTGGCTTTGCAGCTTTCCAGGCGAAGTGATATCTAATCTTTAAATAATGGCTAAAGCACGTACGTGAAAAGGGTCAGATGATTAACCCTAAAAGTATAAGTACTATTACAAAGTACACAAAAGAGAGAGTATGAAGATATCTAACTAAATAAATCATGTATATATAAAACACTCCCTATAAAAAGTTCTGTGCGTATGGACTACTAAAAAACATATTTGGGAAAAAGTCATTTTCTTGTTTCTTGTTTTAAGGGTTCCTTAAATAGAGGAACCCTTGTCTGAGCCTAGTTCTGCCTTTTTTTTTTGTAGGCATTGGTGGGTTGTGGGTCGGGCAATCCTGACTAAGAGCTCTCTCCACAACTTCCACCTTGACTGACGTTGGTAGGGTTGACAGAAATGCACACCTCAAGTCACATTTAAAAGGTCCACAGTCTTTAATAATGCAGGTATCACTACTCTTTGACTCTTCTGCCCTTGTGTTTATACACTTGTCTTTGGTTACATCTTCCTGCTGGGAATTCAAGGCAAAGTCAGTGATCCCTATGTTGGCCGAAAATTAATGTCTTTCCTTTCTACTAATCAAAACTTTTTCAAATGTTTTCAAGAATATGAAAACTGGTTATACATATATATCCTTATAAACATAGATTTTTTTTGGGGGGGGGGATACTGAGTATTTAACCCAGGCATGCTTTACCAGAGAGCTACATCCCCAGTCCTTTTTATTTTTTTTAATATCTAAGTTGCTGAGGCTGGCCTCGAACTTGTGATTCTCCTGCCTCAGCCTCCTGAACTGCTGGAATTACAGGTGTGCACTGGGAAGGCCAACTATAAGATTATCTCTTTAACATAAAAATGAAAATTAAAGTCTCATACAGGATAATTTATTTGCTATTGAAGAAAACAAAGCGTTACCAGCAGCAGGTGTCTTCAGGGCTGTGCTTCCCGGCTTGAGGATCTTGGTAGGGGCCTTCAGCCCACTTGGCTTCAGCAGACTCATTGTCTTTGTGATTCAGTCTCTCTTCGCCTGTTGCCACTGTCTTTCCCCGACCATTGATAAAAGTGTGGGTGTTTCTATCATACAGTCAGTCTCTAGATTAAACCTGCACAGAGAAACAAAATAAAAAATCTATAGGGGAAAATAAATAGAAACAATGTCTGTTATGAGAGTCACTTCATAGGCTAAATTTCCCTCACATTCAATAATAAACCATCTCCACAATGAGTCCAGAACTGGTCACTAAAAACATGAAGATGCTGCTGAAATGAATTTAAAGGTGATTTATAGCAATATATTCACTTTGCTTTATATTATCTAGTATCACCAGTTCAGTACAAGGCCTAAAACCATACAATCTATAAAAGAGAATTCAGAAAAATCTGCACCAAACTTAATGAGAGCAGGGGAAGGGAGTTTTTAGTTTTTATTACCACAGGCCTGTATTAACTATTTTTAAGTCCACAGAATTATGCAATTAACAATATAAAATTACTTATATGTTAAAACAGAGGAGGGCCCAAACTCTGAAAGAAACAGCCTCATCTGGGAAGCAATGAAGTAAAATCATCTTTACTCTGCTTAGAGAAAAACACAATATGCTTTTTTCTTGGTATCCTGCCTATCTGGTACATTAGAGAGGTGCTCTGCCACTGAGCAACATCCTTTTTAATTTCAAAAGCAATGGGACCAAACTTTCCTAGTCTTTTCTGAATTTCAGGCCAGCCAGTGCAGGGGGAAAAAGAGCCACTTTCACTTAAGAATGTCAAGAAGCACTTAAGGAAAAAAAAAAAAGATCTTATCAAGAGTCAATCCGTGGGGCTGGCTCAGTGGTAGAGCTCTTGCCTCACAAGTATGAGGCACTGGGTTCAACCTTCAGCACCACATAAAAAATAAATGAATAAATAAAGATGTTATGTCCATCTACAACTAAAAAAAAAAGTCAACATGTGGATGTAGGCCTTTTTTAGAATTGAGAGGTCCAGCAGGTGCCCTGGCTTCACACTGATGTGCATTGACCGTCTCAGAACAGCACCTGAGCAAGCCTAGCATGAGCTCTCTATTTCTTGAAAGAAGGAATGAGAAACTGGGGTATTCTTGGTGCTGGTGGTGGGAAGATACCTTCTCCATAGTGAACTATGTGCATCTTGCACTTAAGGAAAACAAATGTGTTGACCATGATGACAAGTAAGCTTTACAAACAAACTTAGAATTTTGGAAGACATATTCTTACAGTGAGCTTGACAGTTTCCCAATACTGACAACCTTTGGGATGAGATCAATTCTACTAACAAAGGTAAGCTTTTTCTGGCACTGAGGACTAAACCCAGGGGCACTTTACTGCTGAGCTACATCCCCAGGCTCTTTTATTTTTTTGTGACAAGGTCTTGCTAAACTGAAGAAGCTGGCCTTGAACTTGTACTCTTATGGCCTCTTTGTTTGTACTCTTCCAGTACCTTTCTGGTACTGGACATTGAATCCAGAGGTGCTGTACCACTGAGGCACATCCCCAGCCCTTTCTTAAGTTTTTATTTTATTTTGAGGCAAGGTATCACTAAGTTGCTGAGGGCCTTGATAATTTGCCCAGGCTTGTCTCAAACTCTTCCTGCCTCAGACTCCCAAGTCCCTGGGAGGCTGCACCACTGTGACCAGTGACCAATTCATGTGATTTCTTAATGCTACACAATGAAATGTGCCCATTTGTGAAAGATCTCCTGACTCAGGGAATTTTCTCCACCAGCAATGCATATCCGTAGAAGGCTTTGCTTAGAGAAAGTAGTCACTCAAAGCACAAAGGAGGCCAATAGATTTTTTTTCTGTTAACAATAAGAAAAGTTCGGGCTGGGGATGTGGCTCAAGCGGTAGCGCGCTCGCCTGGCATGCGTGCGGCCCGGGTTCGATCCTCAGCGCCACATACAAAGATGTGTCTGCCGAGAACAAAAAAATAAATATTAAAAAATTCTCTCTCTCTCTCCCCCCACTCTCTCTTAAAAAAAAAAAAGAAAAGTTCATCTCATATCCATTTCAAATTCCATCTTTAAAAAATACTACAGCCTGGGCTGGGGTGTGGCTCATTGGTAGAGCGCTCACCTAGCATGTGCGAGGCCCTGGGTTCGATACTCAGCACCACATAAAAATAAATAAATAAAAGCATTATGTCCAACTACATCTAAAAAATATTTTTAAAAAACTATTAATTTTGTAGTAGTATCAAGGAAAAAACTCCATAATTACCTGAAAATCCTCTTAAAAATACTTTTCCTTTCCTACACATCTGTGTGGGCCATTTTTCTTCATACACTTGAACCAAAACAAATTATTGCTATAAATAAAATGCAGAAAAGATAAAAGAATCAAGTTGTCTTCTCTTAAGCAGATCACTAAACAGATTTGCAAAAAAGCAATACTATCTCCCCATTAGATTGTTTTAGAAAATAGTTATTCTCCATTTTAAAAATTATGTAACCTACTAGTTTATTATTTTAAAAAAATGTTTAATACCTTTGTTTTTATGAGGTGCTGAGGATCAAACCCAGGGCCTCACACATGCTAATTGAGCTCTCTACTACTGAGTCACAACCCCAGCCCTAGTTTATTATTTTTAATGAATTAATGTTTTAAATATCATTTTTACTCTCTAATATGGTAAATATCAATAGATATGAACTACATAACAGTTCTTTGGATATCTCATTCACTTTCTAGAATGCAGAGGGCCGAGCGATAGTGGTGCATGCCTGTAATTCCAGCAGCTCAGAAGGCTGAGGCAGGAGGATCACGAGTTCAAAGCCAATTTCAGCAATGGTAAGGCCCTAAGCAACTCAGTGAGACCCTGTCTCTAAACAAAATAGGGCTGGGATGTGGCTCAGTGGTTGAGTGCCCCTGAGTTCAATCCCTGAGACACACACAAAAAAATGTAAAAAGGTCCTGAAAAAAATGTTTGTTTGGATTCTGCATTTGGAGTCATAGAGGTTTAAAATCCATGTTTCCTTAGGGCTTCCCAAAGTATATGCCCCTAGTTCAGATACTTAAAGAACTGGGTACCACATGTGCAAGTTCAGTATTACTACTTTCAATCATTGTGGTTATGGCACTGAACTAGGGGCTGAACAGAGGCCTGAATTACAACCTATGGGAAAACCCGACGACATGTCCAGAGCAACAGGAACACCAGGTGCATCATCCCTGGGAATGTACATACAGAAAACAGGCACTGCTGCAGGTCCTGTCACATGGGTGATGCTCTTCACAGGTAGCACCAGTTACCCAGGAGGACTTATCAGGAATGAAAGCCCCACACCACTGAAACAAACCAGGGGTGGGCCCAGCTTCCTGAGTTTTAACAAGCCCTTCTGATGATTTCAGTGCTAGCCTGAGAATCGCTGCTAAATTACTGATGAAGAAGTCATCTGGGGCTGGGGCTGTAGCTCTTGGCTGAGCCCTTGAAGTAGCATGTACAAGACCCTGGGTTCGATTCCCAGCACCACAAATAAATAAAAGATGACACTGGATATCCTTCAAGGGATATTACCCAATTTATTAAAAAGAAAGGGGAAAAAAAGAAGAAATAATCTAAGGTTCGATTCCTCAGTTTCATGGTGTGAATCACCACACGCCTGACTCTGCAGACCCTCTATGGCAGTCTTTCAGCTCCCGGTCCTTGGAGCTTTTGTCTCAGGGATCCCCTCCGCCTCCTTGTCCTTTCTAGCTGTGAACCCTCCTTCAGGGCAGACTCGCCTGCTCTGCAAAATCAACACCCATCCTTGCCACTGCTAATCCTCCGGTTCCCAGTCCTGAGGGTCGATGTTGTTCATAGCACCTACCTCACTTAGCTGTTGCTGTGGTCTACAGATTTTACCAGACTATCAATCCCTTGGAAGAAACTGTATTTTGACCACCTTTGTATTTCCCACAGTACTTTATAAACAATGCTTACTAAATAAAATGAATAAAAAGACAGTCTCAAGTGTTTAAATGATCCTACAAACCAGCTGAGGTACACTTAGTATTTCTTTTTAAATTTTACTTGTTGCTCACTACAGATAGCATTAAAATAAATAAATATATATATATATATATATATATATATGACAAAAGCACAAGGAATTTATGATGTAAAAAATAACTAAGTCAACACAACTTATGAGAAATATCAAACTACAAGGCCAGATCTACACATGGACTGGGACTGAAAGTGCATAGCATTGTACAGGGGATGGCAATTAGGATTTTTAGAAAGGCAGAGGAGCTAGGCAAGGTGGTGCGCACCTATATACCAAGCGGCTCAGGAGGCTGTGGCAGGAGGATCACAAGTTTGAGCCCAGCCCCAGCAACTTAGCAAGAAATAAGTTTTAAAAAGGGATATAGCTTAGTAGAAGAATACCTTCTGGTTCAATCTCCAATTACACACACACAGAGGAAAGTTTCAGAAAAGGGACACCAGAAGAAAGAGGAAATTCATAAAGCATGTAAATTAATAAGCTCAGTTGCACTAACATCAAGAGATTACCTTTTTAACTTGGTTTCTTACAGGAAACTGAAAGGAGACTTTAAAGAGCCTTAAAGATCCATTGAAGAAACTATGATCAATTTTGCTTGCCTTATACTTCAAATGAAAAACCTCCTTTAAGAGTCTACTGGTGGGGCTGGGGATGTGGCTCAAGCGGTAGCGCGCTTGCCTGGCATGTGTGTGGCCCAGGTTCGATCCTCAGCACCACATACAAACAAAGATGTTGTATCCGCTGAAAACTTAAAAATAAATAAATAAGTATTTAAAAAAAAAAAAAAAAAAAAGAGTCTTCTGGTACCAAATGAGAGCCACCCAGAGTTGCCTTAAGTTCTATCTTACTTCACTACACTTCAGTCATCTCAACCTTCCCTTGTCAACCTACCCAGATTGAAACAAAGTCAGCAGCCATCTTCCAGTGGCATGCCAAGTGAGGCCCAGGTTCTATCCAACCACAGGCACAGGTAGCAGCTGGGGACTGCCAGGGCAGGTCTTAAATTTCAGGGAAGATAAGTCCTGAGCAACAACTTGCCATAAAGATTAGAGACCACTGAGCAGAAGACAAACCTCAGTCTTTTATACCTTCAGAGCACAGCGCAGGGACCAGATATGCTACAACTTACCTTTCCTTGATAACTTCTAATATCTTTCCATACATAAACTGCTCACCCCAATCTATCAGCCAGACTAAAACCCCAATATCCTACATCTGCACTGCCCAACAGGGCTGCCACTAGTTACACATGCTGTTTAAACTTTAACATGCAAGCAGGTGATACCTCCAATGCCACACACAGGACAATCTCCATCGTGGCAGAAAGTTCTATTTGATAGTACTGTGCCAGAATCACCCGTAAAATGACCACAGATGGCAGTGACCAGCTCAATCTCTCACTGCTCTTGACTGGACCTGGCTGAAAAGCACTAAAGTTGTTTCCAAAATCTGAATCAAAACACCTCAAAATATAAGGTTGTGCAACTACCTTGCAAGAATATATTCCAGACTCACAGCCCAATTATGGAAGTTCTAAAATTTTTTTTTTGAGAATTTATTTATTTATTATTTTTTAGTTTTCGACGGACACAACATCTTTGTTTGTATGTGGTGCTGAGAATCGAACCCCGGCCGCACGCATGCCAGGCGAGCACGCTACCCCTTGAGCCACATCCCCAGCCCGGAAGTTCTAAATTTTAATGACTGTTATTACTACGATAAATGAATAAACCTCTCCATATGAAAAAACTTCTATTTTTAAGTCATCACACTGCTTTATAATCTCAATCTCCAAACAATAATACTGCAACATACACCTACACATCACCCCAAAATTCACACCACTGATTGATGGCATGATTACAGCTATTTTTTCAAGCCAAGAACTATTTGTAAAATGTTTATCTTTAGAACTTGGATCACTTCTAAACAGTTAGAAATAGCTATTATTCTCTTGTACACTCTCAGAGGGGAGAGGCAGGGAGAAGACCTGCGGAGCACCCACTAGGACCAGGGAGCAGAGCTCAGTTCCTGCCCCTCCTCTCCCTTCCCTTTCCAACTCATTAAAGGGTCACACTTCTACCCCAAAGAAGGAAGCAGAGCTGCCAAACATCAAAACTAGAGGAATGGTTTGTTTTGTTTTTTCCTGCATGACCACAGGTCTATTTTAAGACACAAAGCCAGGCCTGACATAAGCAAAATTTTAGAACTAGATTAATATCCCAAGCTTGTGATTTAACTCAGATCTGACCTAAATAACAGTGAAAAAGAGACAAGACACTTATCTGAGAGAAGCAAATAACCTTAGAAGGCCTACCCTCTGGGGTAGTTCCAAAAAAGAAGCATACTTTATAAATGCATCAGCTTTCCATGAAGCTGGGATTCCAGGAAGAGAAGCTACCGCTCCACCCAACAAAAAGACAAGTTCCACCCTCTAAGAAATCGGGTCTGGAGACCCTCCTCCAGGGTCCAGGCAGACTCCACAGCTGCACATCCACCACCACCAGCCTCCGGGATGCCTCAAACAGGGAGGAAATGCCAGTACAGCGAGCAGCCTGAAGGCTAGCCATGACCATTTCTAAGAACCCAGGCTCCTGCTCTCCTCTCACTGCACATATTTGAATAGAAAATTACATAAAACTCTGTCTTCTGTTCTCAACAAATTTTCAGAGGCTGGATATACAGTTCAAGACCACGGCCTTCTCAAAACATAGTGGGTCTGCTTACTGTATTTGCACTTTTTAATAAGCAATCCCCTATGACCTGTCTCCTGAACTGAGAATAGGGCTGGGTGTAGCTCACGGCAGAGGCTTGCCTGGCATGTACGAGAACCTGGTTCCATTCCTAGTGTACAGAAAAAAACAAACGTAAGAACATTCAAAATATTTCAATAAAGAAAATATTTCTTGTAGCAGAGAAGAATGGGTTAGTAACCTGGACCCTGAAGGAAAAAAAGTCAGAAACACAACTCTACTAATGAGTCCCAAAGTCTGGAGGTAAAGCCAGTGTCCACCTGACACCTCCTGCAAAGCACAAAGGGTGATCAGGGTGACTGCTGCCCCAGGAAACAACCACTTCGGGACCCTCTGGGACTGCTCCCCTTGGATCACACTTGCTACCAGTTCTGATCCTCTCAATGCCACCCTTCCACCAGAGACCTCGAAAAGGCTGTGGGAACTCAAAAGTGGTGTCATTCTGTTCTCCCCCCTGAGGGCACATATGCTGAGTGGGGCTGGATGGCAAAGCGCCAGTCTGGCATGCACAAGGCCCTGGGTTCCATTCTAGTACCACAAAAGAGACCAAAAAACCCTAAAAAAAAAGG